ATATATAAAAATTGAATGTAAGTAGATCTTAACTTATAATTAATTGTTATGCAACTGCTCATTTTTCAAATTTAGCCAATAAAAGAATTTAGATTATCAGTGGAAGACGACGTGTTGGTGGAAGATCATGAGTAACTTACTATTTCTTCCAAAACACGGTATTATTGTTAGTTCTTATGATAAAATCACTTTCACGAGTAACTCACTATTTCTTTCAAAACACAATATTATTGTCAATTCTTATAATAAAATCACTTTTTCATTCTATCGTATTAAAAGGGATATACAATTTGACTAATGTAAATTTATGTTTCCTCGTTGTAAGTACAAAGATTTGTTGTCTCTCTATCTTAAAAAGAGGCAAAACCTTCACGTTTAGCATTTGCACTTTCGTGCTAGTTATGGACAAGGAAGACCTTGATTGATTACAGCTTGTTAGGAAAATTACTGGATGGAATAGTAACTTGTTAGCATTTGCAGTTCGTATTTGTTATGGATGGGAAAGGCCTTGACTTCCAAGTAGTTCCAACTAATTGTTAGGGAAATTATTGCTTGGAAGAACAACTTCGTCTAGGTGGGAATGAAATTATTTTTGAAAGGCTTTTAATTAGAATATGTTTTATTTTTTTTGAACAGATCGACAAGCGGCTGGGTGAACCCCAGCCCAAAAGGAAGGGGGAGTGGGATGGCCTCAAACTCGATACCTATAAGAAGTCTTATGCAGGGAGCTACCACTTGCTCTGTCCAGGAGTTCTTAAAATATGTTTTATTTGAGAAAAACAAAAAGGAAAGAGAAAGGAAAATGATGGGAGTGACAACTTTTCTTTATTAATAAGTATCTTCTTATTGATTTCATTGAGTTACTATTTATTTATTTAAAAAATCTTAATTTAAATTAATTAAAAGTTTAAAATTTTATAATATTGAACAACAAATTTCTATAAATATATATAAAAATTAAATCAATTTATACAAAATTTTAATTATTTATTTTTTTAATATGATTGATTAAAATTTATCTACTTTTTATCCTCTTTTTATAACAATAATTGACTTTCTTATTTAAAAAATATGATAAATCTAAATCATATCACAGTAAAAAGATAAATTATTAAAACTTTATATAAATAATGTATGTTAAAGTTATATATTGTTGATTCTGAATTCTAATTCATAAAAAAAGGGATTTACATTTTATAAGCTGGGCTACACATTAAAAATGTAACTCAAATATTGAAATAACTAAATTACCATTAATAAAATAATATAAAAAATAATTTCATTAAAAGTAATT